CGGGTCTGCGGGAGACGGTCCCCAGCAGACCAGAGGCACCGGGAGCAAAGCCGAAGCGGCAGCGGGGTCCCGCACTTCTGAGGCTTTGCTCTGGCAAAGCCTCAGAAGCGCGGGAACCCGCCCGGTGCCCCTGGTCTGCGGGAGACGGTCTCCAGCAGACCAGGGGCACCGGAGCAGCTTACGAATGGGGCTTTCTCGCCCCAGAGCTCGCAGGTAGCAATCTGCCACCTCGACCTCCAGGGCGAGAAAGCCCCGTTCATAAGTCGGATCCGCGTAAGTCAGGGACTGCCTGTATATACAAAAAATGGTTGCATTTCCTTGTACTCCGTGTTGGAATGTTCCTCTTCCTAGTATATATGTTCTATTACTTTTTGTCACCAAAGGTGTGGGGAGTCACTGAGCCCTCCACCCCCATCTGCAGTCACATGTGACTCTCAGCCAGCCCATGGAACAGAAGGTTTATTAGTTCCCAGGGGCACAGTGTAGAACAGACTTGTCAGCACAGGGACCAGGAGCAGTCCATCTTGGGAAGAGGGGAACCCAAAGCCAGGGCCCTGGGTCCCCACCCTGTATCCTAAGCCAGCCAAGACCAACTCACACACTTAGCAACCAGTCCCAACCCTACAGGCAACCCCACTTCCTCCTTTGTCCAGCTTTCTGAGTAAAAGGTGTCACCTGGTCACACACCCCTCCCAGGCTCATGTTACAGTGAGCCTGGGCCATGGTGTATGTGCTGGCCTGGGCACACTAGAGCAGTCTTCCCTCAGTGAGAGTCACACCCAAAATTCCCATCCCCATCCAGTCACAGTGCCCAAGGAAACTGAGGTACACACAAACTGTTACTACAGAACAGTATGAGACAGTAGAAATCACATGCAACATAACAAAGTGAACACAGTGAATACAATCCCCACTTCGTCACACTCTCTACCACAGCTTTTCAATCTAAACACTCACTGGCTCAGGCCTAGACGAACAATAGATCTGAGAATCACAGTAAATGCTAAAAATACAAATAAATAGAAGGATGGGTTGGGTTTTTTTGGTTGTGGGTATTTGTGGATTTTGTTTTACCTTATCTTGCTTCCCTCAGGATCATTGGCCGTCACTGTCGTCACCAATGTGCCTACAGTAACATCTTCAAATGTATCTCCTATATAAATGTTCTTGGAGAAAACTGGCGCTTCATCCATGTTCACCACAACTACTCTGAAATAAGCAGTGGAGCTTGAATTATACTGTACTCCATGCACCAAAGGTTCTGGATTTGTGGCATTGACTGTCAGGTTGTACTCTGGAGACATTTCAAAATCAAGAACCTGGGGAAATGCGGAGAGATTGCAATAAACAGTTGTTTCACTGTTCTCTTCAGTAAGATAAATGGTTGAGGAATCTTTCATGTATGCCAATAAGCTCCAGATCATTTGATCATTTTCATCCCTGGTGCAATTAGAAGCAAAATGGAGGGTATTCTCAATGCTGAAGATAAGTTAAGAAGTTAAAAGTAAATCTTTCAAGTAATCTACTGATTATCTCCTAATGCCAAGCCAACAGACACAATGGTAACATCTCCCCCGCATATCTTAGGTAATGAAGAAATATGGTAGACTCATCGGCTGTGTCTACACTGGCATGAATTTCTGGAAATGCTTAAAACGGAATACTATTCCGTTTTCAGTTTTTCCGGAAAAGGAGCATCTACATTGGCAGGCTGCTTTTCCGGAAAAGCCCTTTTTATATCAACATGATATAACTTGATGCTTGTGGTACCAATTTCTGGAACTACGGGCACACTAAAAACACTCATTTAATCAGCCAGAATTGAAATATTTGGAAGTGTGGAGAAAAAAACTATTAAAAAAGTTATATAAGAACAAGATGCAGCAATGCATGCTGGGAAGGATACTCTGAGCAGTATGCATGTGTGGATGATTCAATTTCGTGTAGCTCTTATTTTTCGGAAAAGCGTCTGTGGCCAATGTAGACGCGCTGTGTCTACACTGGGCCACTTATTCCAGAAAATCAGCCGCTTTTCCGGAATAAGCTGCGAGCTGTCTACACTGGCCCTTGAATTTCCGGAAAAGCAACAACGCTCTACTGTACAAAATCAGCCACTATTCCAGAAAAGCTACGCTGCTCCCGCTCGGGCATAAGTCCTTATTCCGGAACACTGTTCCGGAAAAGGGCCAGTGTAGACAGCCCAGTAGTCTTTTCCGGAAAAAAGCCCCGATCGCGAAAATGACAATCGGGGCTCTTTTCTGGAAAAGCGCGTCTACATTGGCCACAGATGCTTTTCCGGAAAAAGGGTTTTTCCGGAAAAGCAGCCTGCCAATGTATACGCTCTTTTTCCGGAAATACTTATAACGAAAACTATTCTGTTTTAAGCATTTCCAGAAATTCATGCCAGTGTAGACACAGCCAGCCAGTATGAAGGAGGAGAACAGGATAGTACTAGAAATAATTATTTTTAAAATGATTAGATCATGGGAGTGTAACATTTCCAAATAATGTACAGGTATCGCAATACTATCTACTGTTACATACAAGACGACCCTGGATCATGATTAGGGCCTGGATCATAATTGTCGGGGTCTCCTGACCCAAAAAGGAGTTGTAGGGAGGAACTACAAATTTATTGTGGAGAGATGGCAGGACTGCCACATTTACTGATGTGCTGCTGCTTAGCGGTGGTACTGCCTTGAGTGCTGGGCAACTGGAGAGTGACAGCTGCTGGCTGAGATCCCAGCTCTGAAAGCAGAGCCACCAGCAGCACAGAAGCGAGTATGGTAATGCCCATCCTTGTGTGCTGCTGCCTGCAGAGCTAGGCCCCCAGTCCGTTGCTGCCAGATGCCCAGCTCAGAAAGGAGAGCAGAAGCAAAGGTGGCAGAAATACACCACTCCCCATATAACCTTGTGACCTCCCCTGCATCTCCCTTTTGGGTCAGGAACCCCAATTTGAGAAATGCAGTCTTTCCTATGAAATCTGTACAGTACAGGGTAAAAGCACTCAAAAATCTAGGGGTTGACCAGATTTCACAGTGACACATTTTTCATGGCTGTGAAGTGGGTAGGGCCTACCTCATGAATGGTTGAGGTTTTGCGGTTAATAAATACAGTTTTAGTGGTTATGTGACGCCAACAGGAAGACTCAAACCTGGGACCTCTAGTGCTTTGTGCATGAGCCCCTACTTCAGTTTTCCAGTGACCTTGTCATGATATTGCACAACATGTAATATAGTGTCTGTATGTAGAACAAAGGCCACAATACAGCAAGCCATCAAAATATCTTGTGATACATTGTAAGGAAACAGAAGAATTGAATTTAGGAAAACTGCATGTTATCAGCATAACTCCACTGACATCAATGTAAGTCCCAAATAAGGAACAAATGATCTTTGTGTGACTATATTAATGTATTGACAAAACAAGTAGTTTATTTAATTCGATGTTCTAATATAGATTAAAATATAATTTTGAAGCTGTACAGCCAGAGTGGGAAACCTAAGGCCTGGGGAGCCAGATGTGACCCCAGCTTGCCTGAATCCAGCCCTTGAGACTTGGGGCTCCTTCCAGCATTGGGAAGCCTGCACTGGCACTCCAGGCTCCCCATCATCCCACCATGGGGCTGGAGCACACAAAATCTACTAGTCTGGGCCTCACTAGGCTCTGGTGTGCAAAGGGAATGTCTTTCTCCTTCTCAGGCTATGTCTACAATACGAGGGTTTTCCAAAGTAACCTGGGAAAACTCAGCCTTGTCCAGGGAACGCATCTGCTCTTCCATTTTGTTTTTTTGTTATTTGTCTGGAAGAGCAGACACGCTCTTTCGGAAGCCCTGTCTTCCTCCTCCCATGAGGAAGAAGGGCTCTTCTGAAAGAGAAGGTTTTTCTGAAATTTGGCCCAGTGTAGATGGGCCAAATTTTGGAAAAGCCTCTTCTGAAAACACTATCAGAAAAAGGTATGCAAACTGCGAGGCGCAATTTGCGTACCTTTTTCCAATACATCGGTGTAGTGTAGACATAGCCTCAGTCAGGGTCACATCAGTGAGGGTTTGATTTTTCTTTTTTCCTTCTCACTTCTGTGTAGCCCCTGAGTCTTTTGTGGGTCAGCGGCCCGCAACCCAAAAAAGGTTTCCCATCCTTGCTGTATAGATTTTGCCTCCAATAAAGAGAGATGGATTACAGGTACCATATTTGGTGTAATAGTGATAAAAAATATTCTGATTTTGAAGGACAAAATCCCATCTCTTTGTGGGTAACTTGCCCGGATATCAAGACCCTTTTCTGTGTAGTTCTCTACAAACTATTACCATCTTTTACCAACTATTACTATGGTGCGGTGTGTAGTTGCTGGTGAGAATATGCTTCAGGTTGGCGGGTTGTCTGTGGGCAAGGACCGGCCTACCTCCCAAGGCCTGTGAAAGACCAGGGGTACGGGGGGGCAAAGCAGAGCCAAGCCGCGGAGCACGCGGCCAGCTGACAGCCCAGACGCAAAGCAGCGTGTTCCGCCGCCCGCGTGTTCCACCGCTTTGCTTCCTCTCCCTGGTCTGCTGGAGACCAGGGAGAGGAAGGGCCCCGTTCGTAACTGCGGATCCGACATAAGTCGGATCCGCGTAACTCGGGGACTGCCTGTATCTTTTTTTGGTTAGTCTCTAAGGTGCTACAGGACTGTTGTTGTTTTTTAAGTTTTTTTAGTTACAGATTGACATGGCTACCCCTCTGAGATTTTTATTACCATCTTTGTTAAATGGTATGTGACACAGAGCTGGGATACACTTAACACTTGAACACACTTTTTGCTATGCCACAGCCATTTTATAAAGAGTTATAGATATTCTTGGAGATTCAGTTACAAGTTTTCATTATATGTTAGGCTTTCACCTATTTCTTTCTCTCTTTTTTTTTCATTTTTCTTAGCGTGCGGGTAGTTTAATTATCACTTCTGAACAGGGCTGGATTAAGGTTATGAGTTACCTAAGATTACAAGGAAGGAAGGAGGGGCCTAAGTATGAATTAAATATTACAAAAAATTATGAAGTCATCAAACATTTGTCTATATACATATTTATGTAAAATTAACCCATTTATTCTATTCTCACTACACTCCATTTTTCCCACTTTAGCTGTGGCAAAGTCATAAATGATGCCATCATATTTGACAATTTCATTCTCAGTGCTCTAGAGGGACAAAGCACTGAGATGCTCTTCACTCGTGGTGGATTGGAGGACATTTTTTATCCTTGTTAGAAAAGAAAAGGAATGTTGTCCACTATAATGATGCTTATTAGTGACAAATGCAGCTGTAATGCAGTTTTTACATTTGGGAAACATTCTGTCACACTGGATTCCATGATAACTTGGTACACCCAAATAGATAAGCTTCTGTCATCTTTTCTATCTATATCTGAAAGTGATGTAGCCACAGTTCCCAGCCTAGTTTGACGAGCTCAGCTGGGGCGTTGTACTACAGGAGGAGGTGAGCGCGCTCCCAGCTGGGCCCCTAGAGCTCTCTTGCAGGCTCCTGTGCTAAGCAGCAGGCAGGTGAAAGGAGATGGCTGGGGGCATGTAGCGCGCTGGTCCAGGGCTCCCTGAGCTCTGCGCCATTCTTCCCCAGAGCCATTTAGGAAGGGCAGAAGTGTCTGAAGCCTTCCTGCCTGATTCCTATCAATGCTGCCTGTTGCTTTCTGTTTCCCGTCCATCACTGTCAGGGGGCGAGAGGGAGCTACTTCTAAGCCACAGGGGGCAGCTTTGCCTTGTCTTCTTGCTCGCATGAGTGCTCCAGGCTCCAGCAGGACTATGTGAGCAAGCTCACTCATCCTCCCTCACCCGGCCTGGCCCTGCTGCCTGCCTGAGCACGAGGGCCTAAACAGTGGGAGGGCCTAAGGCTATATATAGCCTTATTGACCGAATGGCTAATCTGGCCCTACTTCTGAAGCCACTTTATTGGCAACTTCCTTCCAGGTCAATATTCAAAGCTTTAGATCACTGCCTTATAATGGGTAGGGGAGCTAACACACTCACTGGACCCCTGGGCAAGCTGCGGGGGGCGGGGGCAGCTCTGCACAGCTGGAAGGGGCAGGGCCCCGCAACACTGCCCAGACTCCCCCTGCGGTCCCCCAGTGCTGTCCAGAGTGCACCTCCTGGAGGTCTGGCAGAGATGTAAAGGGCCCAGGGCTCCAGCTGCCACTACTGCTGCAGTAGAGGAGGTGATGGCTAAAAGCCCCATGCCCTTTTAAATGACTACACCCTGAGGCATGTGTCCCTTTTGTCCCCTTCTGTCAGCAGGCCCACAATGGAGGCACCGATGAGACACATTTTAAGTTGTGTTTTCTGGAGATCCCTAATCCCTCAGAAGGCAGTTAAAAGAAAAAAAAATACTGTGTGTTCTTTAAGAACAAAAAATAAAGCTAAAAAAATACCTGTACTGCTGTAATGTAGGAATTAAAGAAATCCACTTACCTTGTTAAGCTTGACGTATCCCCTATTTGTTTGGGGATCTGTCTCTATAATAAAGATTTTGTTCTGGTCTCCCCCTTCAATTTTGTAAATGATTTCAGAGCTCCCAGTGAAAGGTTCATCAGCATCTGCAGCTTGAATTTCCAGTATTACTTTTCCTACTGGAGTATCTTCAGAAATATTCCAAATACCGTACTAAGGAGGAAAAAATAATGGAAACATGCAACATCAGGAACCGTTCAAAGAAATGAGTTTCAGAGCTCCAACTTAGTTATTAATGTGTTCAGCCACACAAGGAAGTAGAGAAATAGTTTCTCTATTTATAGATGAGGCATAAAGAGCGGCATAATGATTCTAAGATTCTCAAAGGTACCTACTAATGAAAGTTAACACTTCCATGTCTTTAAGGGTGTGGGCCTAAATGACTTGACTAAAGTCATACAGAAAAGTTGTGGCAGAACCAGGTATTCCACCCACTCTTCTGAGTCTTAATCCAGTTTCATAAAGACATCCATCCTCCTAGTTTAAGTAAACATCTTCTAAATGATAAACTTCAAGAACTGAGTGATGGCAATCGAACAGCTAAGAGTGCCCCATACAATTAGCAAGAATGGGTAGTGGTTGCTAGACCAGCCCAAAAAAGGGAGCAAGAGGACATCCTTGCATTCTGGTTCTGAGCTAGGTGGGTGCATTCTATCTCCATAATTATTTCAATTATATAAGTCCCAAATGTTTGGGCACTATGTGAAAGAAATTGATTTTTCCCTTAAATCCTCTATTAAACATAATTTTAAATTACTTCTTTGATTTCACCTTAAATCATTCTTTAATTAAAAGTGCCCATTTGAAATTTCTAGGCTCTTGTTCAAATCTCATATAAAAGATATATTGGACTAATGTCAACAACAACAACAAAAAATCCTCCTGAACTGCCAACATGCTTCTTTAAGGTTTTTTCCTTAACACTTGAATTAATTTACAAAAATAAGAAATATTTCTCATGCAAGCAGTGTTTAGAGTGATTTTTTTTAATTTATAAAAGATTGTATCTTTTAAATAGATCATAATTATAAATATGTATTTGTATGGTTCATATTGCTATTATTATTTCAGGAAAGAAATTGCAGAATATTATTTAATTGAAATCATGCATCTGAAAAATTGTGTCCAGGAGCTACAAAGTTGCACCAGTTACAGGTGTAACAGATTGGTGTAATCTGGCCTTTGCCTCAAATAACTTCCTAGTTTTTTTTCAATAATTATTTTAAATTATTTTAAAAACCTTGTAGTCTAGAAACTGAAGAGAGGTTGCCAGGTTCATATATATATTTACATAACAGTATTTCTATATTACTAGTAGCAATTTAGATTATTAGAATTGAGCAAACTTTCAAAATGTAATGTATTCTTCACCATTCATGCTCTTTGTTCAGTTTTTGCACTTTCTCTTTGCAGAAAGGAGATAGACTGGTCAGTTTCACTTGTAATTACAGTTAATTTGACTTTCTGGTGCATAGGCACTAGTGTTATTTTTGCAATGGTACTGAGGGAAAGCCTTATATCCATTACATTTTTTTACATTAAGACATTTTAATCCATTTTTGCAATGGTACTGAGGGAAAGCCTTAAATCCATTACATTTTTTTACATTACATTTCTACATCTGGCCTTTGCCTCAAATAACTTGTTACATTTTTTTCAATAATTATTTTAAATTATTCCCCCCCCCCCCCGTCCCCTTACTAAAACCTAAATTTCAGACCTGAATTCCCAATATTATCTCTTTAAATGAGCAGTATACATGTTAACTTATTTTCGTACTTTAGAATGCACTATCATACAGATTTGTGTATGTCGATCTATTTACTGCAACTATTTAGATCTCATACACAGGCCTTGCTGCCCTATAATAATGTTATCTCTATGCTCACTAGCAGCCTTAACCAATGGCCACTGTAGTTAAAGGCAAGACTCCTAGGGTATGTCTACACTACCCCGCTAGTTCGAACTAGCGGGGTAGTGTAGACATACCCTAGGAGTCTTGCCTTTAACTACAGTGGCCATTGGTTAAGGCTGCTAGTGAGCATAGAGATAACATTATTATAGGGCAGCAAGGCCTGTGTATGAGATCTAAATAGTTGCAGTAAATAGATCGACATACACAAATCTGTATGATAGTGCATTCTAAAGTACGAAAATAAGTTAACATGTATACTGCTCATTTAAAGAGATAATATTGGGAATTCAGGTCTGAAATTTAGGTTTTAGTAAGGGGACGGGGGGGGGAGAAAGTATAGACATACCCTATAGACTTCAGTGGCACTGGGTCTGGCCATAGGTTTACTTAAAGTTTGTCCTTCAACATTGAAAACAATATTGTGAGGAATACTCACGTCCGATTTTTCAAAGATGGGAATCTGATCATTGATGTCAATGACGTTTATTTTCACATCACACAATGTTGTGAACACTACAAAACAGAACAAAGCAGCATCACAAGCAACTTCTCTGCAGAAAACCTGAGAGTTTTTCCCAGGTGTCCACAATGTGACAGACATTGTACAAGCATATAAAGTGGCAATACAATAACGTAGCAATTGAAGCAAAATCCTATAGTTTTCAGAAAGACTGGCCACAAAATATTGAGAGTCACAATTAGTTCACACTTTGAGGCAGATTCCCTCAGTCTCTCCTTGCCTCTTCCTAGTTGTCTCTCAATATTTCCTCTGTCCTTACTCTTATTCCTTTTCCTAAATTTATTTTAACCCAATCCATGATCAGGAACAAGAATATAATGAATTGTCTGTGTTTTTCATAACATGGAGAGTACAAGGAGACTTTCCCTCCCCCACCCAGAGGTCTCAGTCTTGTTTTCCCTATGTGGGTCATCAGAGAGCATTCTGATCTTTGCTTGTAGTTGGCCAAAACCAGCTATAATTAGCAGAATGCTAATCTGAGAACTCAGACAGCAGCAGACCTCACAATCTTGTTTTAAATCCAGGAATGTGCCACAAATGGCAAAAGTCCTTAGAAGTTGGTTTTATGGGACCTACAGGTTTGCTCTGGTTGACTATACATTATTCAGACATAGTCAAATCCCAGTATCTTCATCAAGTAACCTAAACCAAGGCTCAGGGAATCTCCTAAACAAAGTAGTTAAGATATCATTAAAAATGAGCTTGCAAAACCAACAACTAAGCATTTTGAAGTTCTGTCATTTGTTTAAACCAGGCTGTTTCACTAAGGTAAGAGAAATGTAATCCTGTTTTCTCTATGTGCTTCTATCTCCCATGGAGGTCAATGCAAATTCTGTAAGTTTTGCTTGGCTAAGAACTTCAGAATGAAGCCCTTAATCTTCAATGGAAAAATGTACGTACTTTCCATTCAGTTAACCATCAGGGATTTCTGAACTCTTGGATAATGGGTCTTGCAAAACCTTTCTGAAGATGAACTTTTGTTCTGAATGTTTGTATAAACCATCTGGACTCTCTGGCCAGCTGCATGGAACTCACTGAAGTTTCTCCAATGAGACATTCGTAGTGGAGATAAGCCCTAATAAGGCTTTCCGGTAAAACCAGTGGAAACATCACAATTTTTGCAGCCCCTTCAAAAATTCCCTTGCAGAAGAAAACCTCTTATGGTAGAATTCTAGTAAACCCTGTGCCTTAGTGCTTGCTGAATTCAGTTCTCTGTGTGTCTTTAAGTAATTAAGTACAATTCAGAAAGAAGAGCAGCCCTCAATACTGCTGCTTGCTGTAATGCAAAACCCTTAATCACTTAACATGAACATCTTGGATACTAAACACTGAAACAGGAAGGCTGCCGGAAAGAAATTATTTCAATGTGTGATGGGCTGTCTCTACTGACCTTTATCTGTCACCTCTACAGTCACAGAATAATTCGAAATTATCCTCTTGTTTAATGAAGCTCTAGTTAACTGGAAAGTCCCAGCTTCTTGCTGGATAATAAAGAGGTTATCAAAAGGGATTTTGGGAATCTGGTCCACAATACGGAACTGCAGGCGAGAATTAAGAGTGTCTTCTTTATCCATGTCTGTTGCATGAAGAGTTCCAATATTACTCCCTATGATCAAGGAAAGAATTAAATCAGTTAAGGTACATCTACACTGTGGCGCTATTTCAGGATACTTCCGCTATTTTGGGATACTTCCAAAATAGCTATTCTGAGTCATTGAAACAAGACCGTTATTTCAAAATATTACAGGCTCACTATTCCAACATTCCCTTATCCCACAAGGATTAAGGGACATTTTGGAATAGTGGTTTATTTAGAAATTGACTTGAAATAAGCTATTCAATGTGTGTAGCTAAAATTACATAGCTTATTTTCAGCTAAAGGAGCAGTGTAAATGCACCTTTAGATAACATCTATCAATGTACATTTGCTTCCCCCTCAATCAAATACTATGGACAATGCTGCTAGTATGACTATTATTGATACCATAAACATGCCAATTGCCTGGGAAATACCATTTGCAGTGTTGTCATAGCTATGTCTGTCCCAAGATATTACACAGACAAGGTGGACGAGTGTGAAGGGCTTCACTCACCACAAAGGGCCCCTCTTTGTGGTCCCACATTGTGGATTAGCTCCACATAGGTCTGATGCCACATTCTTTACACCATGACTTCCTACATAGGTCTGATGCCACATTCTTTACAACATGACTTTTTTCCAGAACTCAGGGTGTTCTTTGTGAGACAGCCCTGCAGCCAGGTCACTATACTCCTCCCCTTCTGGAGTAACAAAGTCTTTCCAGAACAGCTTGTCCAGGGAGCATTTTTGCCACTCCCCAGTGACTGGTAGGAGAACCCAGAACTTCCTTCTACACTGGGTTCCAGCGCAGGGGCCCTACAAGAAGCAGCCCAAGTCTGCATAGTCATAAGAACATACATAAAAATGGCCATACTGGGTCAGACCAATGGTCCATCTAGCCCAGTATCCTGTCTTGCCGACAGGAACCTATACCAGGTGCCCCTGAGGGAGGGAACACAACAGGTAATCCTCACATGATCCTCTTGTTGCTGTTTCCCTGGGCTGTTTCACTAGCCCTCTCAGCTTTCCTTTCCCAATAACTCCTCTGGGGTTGACCCTTCTTCTAGGTCTAGAATCCCAGGGCTCATTATCCCTACTAGGTTTTCATCTTCCATCGTCTCCGCTCCCAGAGGAAGACTGCAGGCTCCCTGCAGCCTCCTACAGCAAACTCCCTGGCTTTATAGCCAGCTGTGATTCTTGTTCATTTAGGCCTGACTGTCCCTCCAGATGCAGCCAAGTACACTAGCTGACCTCTCAGTCTCATATTAACCCTTTCAAGGCTTGTGTGAGGTAGGCACCCCATCACGGTGACTTATTTTATTGTACCAATTTCTGTTGGTGCAAGATTGGGAACTTAAATTCATAACTTTGCTAAACACTAAAAATTATGGTTTTAATAATTATATCAGCTCTATAGTTTATTACAACAACCTATAATCCACAAAGCCCCCTCTTTTGTCCTATGACTGCAGAGGTGTTAAGTGGCCACTTCACTTTGACTGGTGCCTTACATATGTGTGAACTATCTGTGCTAAACAATCTGTTCCACACTCTATTTAATTCTGACTCTCTAAATATCTTTCCCAGGCCTGAAAAAGAGCTCTATCTAGTTCAAAAGCTTGTGTCCTTCACCAGCAGAAGTTGGTTCAATAAAAGATGTTACCTGACCCACCTTGACTCTGGAAAACACTGTAAAGAAATACAATACTTTATATTAAAACTATGTATTAGCTCAGTCAACTGTTATGGGGCTGTTGTTGGAATTATGACACGCAATTCTATGGCCTGTATATGCAAGAAGTTAGAGAAAATTATCATAAAGGGCCCTTCAGGCCTTAAAATCTCTGCATAAGTAATGTAGTCTTATGGACAGATTTCACTTACATCGGGGAGATCGGGAGAGATCCCGGATGATTGGAAAAAGACAAATGTAGTGCCCATCTTCAAAAAAGGGAAGAAGGACGATCCAGGGAACTATAGACCAGTCAGTCTTACCTCGGTTCCTGGAAAAATCAGGGAAGGGATACTTAAGGAATCCATTTTGAGGCACTTGGAAGAGGGGAAAGTGATCAGGAATAGTCAGCATGGATTCACAAGGGGCAAGTCATGCCTGACCAATCTGATTAGCTTCTATGATGAGGTAAATGGCTCTGTAGATGTGGGAAAGTCAGTAGATATCATATACCTTGACTTTAGCAAGGCTTTTGATACAGTCTCCCACAATATTCTTGCCAGCAAGTTAAGAGAATGTGGATTGGATAAATGGACAGTAAGATGGATAGAAAATTGGCTAGAAGGTTGGGCCCAGCGAGTAGTGCTCAACAGCTTGATGTCAGGATGGCGGTCAGTTTCTAGCGGAGTGCCCCAAGGTTCGGTTCTAGGACTGGTTTTGTTCAATATCGTTATTAATGACCTGTATAGGTTTTGTTCAATATCTTTATTAATGACCTGTATATGGGGATGGATTGCACCTTCAGCAAGTTTGAGGATGACACTAAGCTAGGGGGAGAGGTAGATACACACAAGGGCAGAGATAGGGTCCAGAGTGACTTAGATAAATTGGAGGATTAGGCCACAAAAAATCTAATGAGGTTCAACAAGGACAAGTGCAGAGTCCTGCACTTGGGACGGAAGAATCCCAAGCATTGTTACAGGCTGGAGACCAACCACCTAAGTAGTAGTTCTGCAGAAAAGGACCTGGGGATTACAGTGGATGAGAAGCTGGATATGAGTCAGCAGTGTGCCCTTGTAGCCAAGAAGGCTAATGGCATATTAGGTTGCATTAGGAGGAGCATTGCCAGTAGATCCAGAAATGTAATTATTCCCCTTTATTCGGCTCTTGTGAGGCCACATCTGGAGTAGTGTGTCCAGTTCTGGGCCCCCCATTACAAAAAGGATGTGGACGCATTGGAGAGGGTCCAGCGGAGAGCAACCAAAATGATTAGGGGGCTGGAATATATGACCTATGAGGAGAGGCTGAGGGAGTTGGGTCAGTTTAGTCTGCAGAAGCGAAGAGTGAGGGGGGATTTGACAGCAGCCTTCAATTTCCTGCAAGGAGGTTCCAAAGAGGATGGAGAAAGGCTGTTCTCAGTAGTGACGGATGGCAGAACAAGGAGCAGTGGTCTCAAGTTGCGGTGGGAGTGGTCCAGGTTGGATATTAGGAAAAACTATTTCACTAGGAGAGTGGTGAAGCACCAGAATGGGTTACCTAGGGAAGTAGTGGAGTCTCCATCCCTAGAGATTTTTAAGTCTCAGCTTGACAAAGCCCCAGCTGGGTTGATTTAGTTAGGATTGGTCCTGCCTAGGGCAGGGGGCTGGACTTAATGACCATCTGAGGTCTCTTCCACCTCTATGGTTCTATGATTCTATGGTGTAAATAAGAAGTAACTCCATTGAAGTTAATGGAGTTACACCAATGTACTATACACAACAAGGACAGGAGAATGGAAGCACTTATTCAGTGAGAGCAAACAATATTTTTTATCTTAAAAAAAGGGAAGCAAATTCTATTGTTAGCCCTGTAGTTGTAAGGAGAGCATAATGGTTTTTTTAAAATGACATTTCTGTTTTACCCATTGAGTATTTGATTTTACTGTGACTAGCTTAGCTTCACTGACAATCCAATTTCTAGTCAGTCAGACAATTTGCATGAGTAAACACAATTCAAAATAAATAAATTTGGCAGAATTGGGCCCTGAAATTGTCAATTCTAATTTTATCAAATGGAAACAATGTTCAGATGGTGAGAATAATTGATATAATAGGTACTTTCATGATATCTTACCTTCTTTTTCATTCTCCTGAACTTCAAATATAGTCAAAGCCTTCTGACACACAGGAGGATTATCATTAATATCTTGAACCAGAACAGTGACTGACAAAGGTCGGTCCAGGTCCACTCCTCCATCATCTTTTGCGGTTGCAAAAAATGAATACTACAATAAAATTGCAATTAGGAATAATAAACAAAAGAACTACAATAGCTTCCATTTAAATGAATCACAAGGAAAACCTTGCTATCAAATAAAAGCTCTTTCTGTGTGTCTTAATAACATTTTCATCTATTTTAATACTAATTACTTATAGCATCTAATAGGGTACTTAAAGCCAAGTTACCTGAATACCTCACAATTCATCAATGAATTTATTCTCCCAACATCCATGAGAGGCTGGAAAACATTATTCTCTCCATTTCACAAATGACTAATTTGCATTCAGAGAGGTGAAGTGCACAAGAAGTCTGTATGAGAGCTGAAACAGAATCTATGAATGAAATCCTGGCATCAATGAAGTCAATGGCATAATTCCATTGATTTCAATAAACTAGGATTTCAACCTGTATCCCCTTCTAATCCCAGTCCAGTGTCTGTTATAATGACAAGACTATCCTTCCTGTCTAGGGCCACAATTTAGGAATTTAAGAATGTGCCTAACTTTAAGCATAAGAAGTCACATTGAAGTGTTTAAAGTTAGGCATTTACTTATGTTCCTTATACATAGGGCCTATGACTGAATTCCCTCCTGGAAATACTTATTCTGCCTTCAGTGAGAAGTACACAAATGATCACCATTTTATTCATTAAATCTCTTTTTCATGCCCCTTCTGATGATGCAATTTTGTGAGGTCAGGGAATTCCCAAGAAAATGCTGACTGTATAGTTAGAGAAAACACACTTAGATATGTTACGGAAAGTATCATTTTTAAAATTAAACACAAAACGCAAAATGGTGAGGGAGATTAAATCCCTTTAAATATGCTAACTGGTCACTATCTAGTATATTGACAATTCTTTCAGTGCCACAAGATGAGTGATTTATAGCCTGTAGTTTTATACATTTTGCAATGGTTTTATTGGCCCAATAAAAAGCACGGTATTATTTTCCTTGTCTAGAAATTTCTTTCATAAAGAAAATGTCTATTATGAAAACAGACTCATTTTAATTACATGATAAACTAATGTCAACATCTCAGACTATTCCTGGGGCTAAGTTAAAAGGCAGCTCTACAATTTTGTCTTTATTCAAGATGACAGGCCAGATCCTGTCTTCTTCAGTGTGTCTATACTGCCATGAAATGCCTACAACTGGCCTATGCCAGGGTCTGTCTCTACACTGTTAATAAATACACACAGCTGGCCTTTGTAAGGGGATGTCTACATTGCCTTTAAAAACCTGTGGCTGGTCTGTGCCAGCTGACTCAGGCTCATGAGGCTCGGCTAGTGAGCTGTTTAACTGCAGTGTAGACACTTAGGATATGTCTAGACTACATGCCTCTGCCGATAGAAGCATGTAAATTAGACTACCTGACATAGTCAATGAAGCGGGGATTTAAATATCCCCCACTTCATTAAAATAAAAATGGCCGCCGCATTGTGCTGGCTCAGCTGATTGTCGGCATAACGCGGCGTCAAGATGCGGATTGGTCGACAAGCAAAGCCTTTGTCGACCGATTCTGTAAACCTCATTTCACAAAGCATAAGGAAGCGGTCGACAATGGCTTTCCTTGTCAACCAATCCGCATCTTGACTGCCGCATTGTGCCGACAATCAGCTGAGCTGGCACAACGCGGTGGCCATTTTTATTTTAATGAAGCGGAGGATATTTAAATCCCTGCTTCATTGGCTATGCCGGGTAGTCTAATTTACATGCCTCTGTCGGCAGAGGCATGTAGTCTAGACATACCCTTAGGCTGGAGCTCAGGTTCTAAGATGCTGTGACATGGGAGGGAGCCAGAGTTCAGGCTGCAGCCTGAGCCTGAACATCTACACTGTAATTAAACAGTCCTTTAGCCCAGGGGTGGGGAACCTTTTCTGAGTTGGGAGGCCAGTGATCCACAGAAAAATCAGTTGGGGGCCACGCACAAGTGAGAAGTAAAAACAAAAAAAATCCCTCACTGATGTGACTCCTGACTGAGAAGCAGAAAGACTCTCCCCACCTTCCGCATGTACACCAGAGCCTAGAGGGGCCCAGACCAGTAGATTTTGTGTGCTCCAGCCCCGCAGGAGGGCAGTGGGATAGCTGGAGTGTCAGCACAGATACCCCAATGCTGGGGAGCGGCTGTGAGCCTTGAGGGCTGGACCCAGGCAAGCCGGAGGCCCTACCCAGCCCCCAGCCCTGAGGTTCCCCACCCCTGCTTTAGCCCAAGTTGAGCCTTGAGGGCTGGACCCAGGCAAGCCGGAGGCCCTACCCAGCCCCCAGCCCTGAGGTTCTCCACCCCTGCTTTAGCCCAAGCTGCTGGGACAGGCCACACATGGATTTTCAATGGCCATGTAGACATACCCTTAATTCCAGACACAAGCACTGACTCTCAGATCCCCCCGCTTCCCACCCACCGCTGAACAACTGGTTGATGGCAAGCAAGAGGCACTGAGCTGGGGAGGGTGGAGCTGATCAGTAGGGCCCACCAAAGAGCTGATCAGCCAGTGGCTGGTGGGTGCTGAGCACCCTTTATTTTTTCTGTGGGTGCTCCAATTCTGGAACACCCATGGAGTCGGCACCTATAGTTCCATCAAACGGTCATAAGACAGGTGGATATAGTTGTCTCATGATCGCCCCGGCATGGAGGAAAGCCCAGGTGGTGTCAGGCCAGCATACAGCTGCTAACCCCCGACTCATCCTCCCCTCTAGCATAGATCCTAAGGTCCAAGAAAAGGGAGCTTGGCCAATGGGCTGCTTCCCTGCCACTAGACAGACTTCTTAAAGCCCTGGACAACTGATACAACTTGGAGCAGCCTTGGGGCTACATTTGAAGTGTTTTTTTGTATGAACACTTGCTTTTAACTAGTAAAGCACATGCAGGTGTGTGCTGTCAAATCTTAGTCTTAGCCAATGTGATCTACACACAATATACATGATAAAGTTCTTTCCTCTTTGTGGAAAGAACCTATACAAACATATCTAGGGAGAAAGAGAGTCTGATATCTGTTGCTGAGCAAGCTCATTATCTTTTACAGTAACATCATTTCTTCTGTATTGCCTACCGTAAATAAATGCCTCCCCACCCACCTCTTGGAGAAGAAAGGAAGGGAGACTTCAGAGTGCTATGTCTTTTGCCCACCAGCAAAGCCACAGTGCACCATGCAATCAGGTATTGTAATGATGTCTCTGAATAGCACGTGTTCAATGTAATTCAGAATAGGCTGTGAAAACTGCAGTAACTACAGAACTTGTGTTGCTTTAGAAAGAAATGTTGTAAAGTGCTGAATTAAGGGCTGTTGGATGATGAATCTAATCATGGGAATGCCAGCTATTAAAACTGTGTGAGATTCCATGTCTATCAAGTCACTTAGATTCCTCCAGAAACCACATCAAACCAAACCTGTCTTTCCTCTTTCGCTGACCTCTCCCACTACTAACTCTCCTACATTTACACCCACAACCACTATGCAGTCTCAGACTGTGGGTATAGCATCAGTCAGGTTTCTCAGTTTTACTTACCTGTTCCTTTTCTTCCCTATCCAAGGGTTCAGTCACATAAATAGTCCCATTTTGGTCAATTGTAAATGGGAACTTGGACAGCCTCTCCTTTTCCAAAAGTTCATATTTTGCACCTGGCTCATTCCACTGTACCTAAAATTCCCAAAATGAGTTAAGACAAAGGATTAAAGGTGTGGACTGAAATGTAACTGAAGGAAACAGTGGGAATGAAAGAGAAAAGACAGATATCCTACTTTGCATATTATGTTATTTTAGGTCCTAAAACAAACAATTTGGCAGGTTTTGGAACTGGGACTCAGGGGACCCAGATGATGGTCCCAGTTCTGCTACCGGTCTGCTGAATAAACTCTCTCTTTGCTTCTATTTCCTTCTCATTAAATATAGATAACAACACATGCCTCCTTTTAAAAGAACTTTGAGATCTACAAACAAAAATCACTTGTACAAATGAGGTTTATGATTACAGTATTGGAATGGCAACAAACAACTGTACCAAACAACTTCTGTGATTTCCTTCTTCAGCTTTACCCACCTAAGAACTTTGGGTTCACAGATGAAAGTGTGTGTGTGTGTGTGTGTGTGTGTGTGTGTGTGTGTGTGTGTGTGTAAGCTTTTTTCAAACATTCTAAGACTTTTTCGTACATAATAAAGGAGTAAGAGATGCTGTTTAAAAAGTAGGCTGAGATATAGCACCTACTATTCTCTGCTCCACAGAGACAATATTCACTTGAATGGGAAATTTTCACATACATTATTCCAGAATGTTAATATTATTTTTACTGTCTATTGTTCACAGGGATCTTTCTTTAATCTGCAATCTCACTGGACTTAATCCTACTACCATTGAAATGCATGGCACACTCTCATTATTGCTGGGTGAGTTAGGGGTACCACTGTTGACACCATCAGCTCAGGATTAAACAAAGACTGTGAATGTCTAGCCAATTACAAAAACAGTTCCTCCTCTCTTGGTGTTCACACCTCCAGATCAGCTGCTAGAAGTGGGCCTCATACTCCCTGATTGAATTAACCTCGTTATCTCTAGCCTGATTCTGGCCTGCATATTTATACCTGCCTCTGGAAATTTCCACTACATGGATCTGACGAAGTGGGTCTTTGCCCACGAAAGCTTATGCTCCAATACATCTGTTAGTCTATAGGGGTATGTCTACAGTACAAACTTAATTCGAACTAACAGACGTTAGTTCGAATTAACTTTGATAGGCGCTACACTAGCGCTCCGCTAGTTCGAACTTAATTCAAACTAGCGGAGCGCTTAATTCAAACTAGGTAAACCTCATTTTACGAGGACTAACGCCTAGTTCGAATTAGCTAGTTCAAAGTAAGGGCTGTGTAGCCACTTAATTCAAACTAGTGGGACGCTAGCACTCCCCAGCTTTCCCTGGTGGCCACTCTGGGCACCACCAGGGAAACTCGTCTGCCCCCCTCCTGGCCCCGGAGCCCTTAAAGGGGCACGGGCTGGCTACGGTGCCCGTGCCAGGTGCAAAC